AGACATTTCCTGTTAAACTTGACACTGTTTGATCATCGTTTCTCTTCATTTTTATTATGGTATTTATTTTTATGCTAGGTCTACTGAGGAACCGTAGCGTATACACTGAAACCTGCAGATGTTTGACCATCTAGTGTTTTTCTCAGTCTAGTATTCTTACTTCATTCCATGTGCTTTCGTTAAACACTCTTTACCCTAGAATTAAAATAATTAAACCACGAAATAAATCGCCATTTTATTAAATCTTTTTATGTTTATTCTTATTATACAAAACATTGGTATTATCTTGCCATTTTTAAATGGAGTGCTGATAAATCAAGGCTTCGACTGTTATGCTCTTCGGCCTTCTTCAGGTATATTCCGCCTCATTGAATAAATACAATGCAACTGATTTTTTTTTTCCGTGCCTTATAAAGAGAGTTCTGCTAATATCAGTAAAAGACCCTGTACGCACGTCCAGCCATTCTCTTCTCTTGGGCATTGTGTGTTTTCATCTCTTTCATCACAAATCAATATTTGATGCAGAAACTTCCATTAAGATGTCGACTCTGGAGCAGCCATTGTCAAATGCTTTCAAAATTATACTCTATTTTTAAATTGCTTTGGCAATCTGTCAAAGTCTACACATAATTGGCTTCAATTTAATCTAAGTTTTTAGCGGCAAAGATTTATTTGTCAAGAAAACAGAACTCCAAACGCAGGAGGATAATTAGGATAGCATGATGACCAGAACTGGTTTCATATGGCACGCAAACCAATTAAAGAAACTATAGTTGTATGCATTTATTACCTGAATTGGCAGACTTCTGAAGAAGGTTGGATAGCCCAAGTCTCGAAACATTGTGATAGCAAAAAACATGAGGATATTAGTCTGATAAAGTAAATATGCAAAATAATAAAAATAAAAAGGAGATTAATCAAGACTAATAAATATTATCCTACATTATTATATTATTATATATTATTATTATTATATATTATTATATATTATCACTAAACTCATAGATGAGGTAGTGAAAGAAAGCGAGAAGAAAGGACTAATCATCAATTGCAAGAAGACTAAATGAAGCTTTGTTAGCAAAAGGAACAGCTCAACATAAAGATTACAGATTGGAGATGCAGAAATCAAACAAGTACAGCAATTTAAATATCTGGGAAGCTGTTTAATAGAATAAAATGGAATGCGTGACACCGATATCCGAAGACGCATTTAGATAGCAAAAGTTGCCTTCCAAAATCTAAGCAAAGTATTAAGAAACAGAAAAGATATCATTAGAAAAATCAAAATAGTACTGAACTGTTATCTAATACCAATCTTCTAGTTACTTAGAAAACACCATTGTTACTATCCCGGCAAACGGAAAACACCATTGTTACTATCCCATCAAGCTCTCTTATATGGCAATGAATGCTAGACAATCTCCCCACACATGAAGAAGAAACTTGAAGCAACAAAAATGTGGTTCTACAGAAGGGTGCTGGGAATACCATGGAACGAACATGTAAGCAACGACGAAGTTCTAGACACAATGGAATCTAAAAGAACACTTCTACTTAACACCTGGAAGAGACGGTTGAAATTTATGGGGGACATAATGATGAAAGAAGGCTTAGAAAATTTGATACTCACAGGACAAATTGAATGTAGAAGAGACAGAGGAAAGCAATGCGCAACCTACCCGGAGAGCTTAAGTAAATGGATAGCGGAGCAGGGTTTGGGAGAGATGACAAAAAGACCAAATTTATTAAAAGCTACAAAGGACAGGAAATTGTGGAGAGCCATGACCTCTAACGTAATGCACGGCACATAGAAAAGGATTAAAAACTGAGAAAGTAGTTGCACATGGTTAATTTAATGTTGTGATCCTAAAAATGAATACAAGAACATTAGTCTGAGAGAAAATAATAAAAATCGTCATAGATCCGCATCCAAGAAAATTTAGGCAAAACGTAATATTCGTTTGTGTAAAACTATATGCTTGGGTTAAAGCGATACTATATCTAAAAGGGAATCTTTCTGGGATGGAGGTGACTAAAAACGAATGAATACGGAGATATGTGAAACACTACAATATGCGAAACACTACACTACACTATGTGAAACTTTACAATATATAAAACTATATGTAAGCCACAACAGTATGTGAAACGCTACAATGTGTGAAAGGCTTCAAGATGAGAAAAATTACAATCTGTGATACTCTATGTGAAACACTAGAATATGCGCAACTTTACAATATGTGAAACTTTACAATATGTGAGACTATAAAATATGTGAAACACTACACTTTGTGAAATTCCACAATATGTGAACCACGACAATATGTGAAACGCTACAATATGTGAAAGACTACAATATAGGAAAATTTACAATATGTGAGACTCTGCAATATGTGAAACTTTACAATATGTGAAACATTAAATTATGTGAAACTCTAAAATATGTGAAACATCACACTTTGTGAAATTCTACAGTATGTGAAATCCTCCAATATGTAAACCACGACAATATGTGAAGCGCTACAATGTGATGAAAAGCTTCAAGATGTGAAAAATTACAATCTGTGAGACTCTATGTGAAACACTATAAAATGTTTAACTTTACAATATGTGAGACTCTAAAATATGTGAACCACTACACTTTGTGAAATTCCACAATATGTGAACCCCGACAATATGTGAAAAGCTACAATATGTGAAAGACTAACATACAGGAAAATTTACAATATGTGAAATACTACACTGTGTGAAACTCTATAATATGTGAAACCCTACAATATGTGAAACTTTACAATATATGAAACATTAAATTAAGTGAAACTCTAAAGTATTTGAAATCCTCCAATATGTAAAACACGACAATATGTGAAACGCTAAAAAATGTGAAATACTACAATATGTGAAAATTTTCAATATGTGAAACTCTACAATATGTAAACACTACACTGTGTAAAACGCTAGAATATGTGAAACTTTACAATATGTGAAACATTACCTTATTTAAAACACTAAAATATGTGAAACACCACACTTTGTGAAGTTCTAGAGTATGTGAAATCCTACAATATGTAAACCACGACAATATATGAATCGCTACAAAATGTGAAAGACTACTATATGTGAAACTGTAAAATATGTTAAAGACTACAATATGTGAAGCTCTAAATATGTGAAACATAAAAATATATGAAACTCTACATTAAGTGAACCAAGTCAATATGTAATCTACGACAATATGTGAAACGCCACAATATGTGAAACGCTGCAATATGTGAAAAACTACAATATGTGAAACTTAACAATAACAAAATTTGGAATCAACAAAGGTGTAGAGTAATGTTTGGTGCATAAGTGTATTTTAGGCGGCAGAAATATAGTCCCTTTCAAAATCGATAATGGTGTCAAAATAAATGCAGTGAATTATTTGAACAAGAAACTTTTGAGTGGAGAAATCGCAAGCAAAATGTTTTGATTAAAAGACTATTTTCATATATGACAGTAGATCTTCACATTTAGCAAACTAACGAAAAAAAAAAGGTTTGAATGACACTGAAAGTAAAAGAATAAATTTAGCCTAACCAGACATAGATTGGATCTAATCGAATAATTATGTTACATATGTAATGCCGATGTTTATGAGGATACAGACATAATTACAAGAGCGACATGAAAAATGGTAATTGTCGCAAATCGAAGAAGCATCTGGAAAATAAAAGAACATCTGTTTGAAATCCGAGATCAGACTTTTGCAGACATTGACGTTCTCATTCTAGTTGTGAGCTTACGAATTTTAGACATTAAGAGCAGAATTCCAATGAAGAATCCAAATTTTAGAAACGAGATGCTACAGAATCATTGTAGGGATTTTTTACACAAACCACACTGCATGTGACTCAGAGCGTGACATTATCTAACAGGCCTATTGAATGACGTCATAACCCTCACCCTGAAGAGAAGGTTGAAATGGTAGAGCCACTAGTATTCGATAACATCCTATAGGGTTTCATTATAACCAAAATAAATAAATAATAAGGATAGAAAAGCAGACATATAAAAAAAGAGAATATGATCTGATAAAGTCACTGCGTTTACTGGAATTCACAGAGACTCAGACATTGGCCCGCAACTGAGACATATGGAAGGATCTGGTCAGGTGCTCCACAGCGCAGCGATCCTACGACCACATTCGTCCAAGGTACTGATATTGACGATGTAGACAATAATTACACAAAGAATATCTATGCCTAGAGATAAAAGAAACGGCCACAATTAATGCCTAAATCGAATGAGCAGGAAGAAGTTATTAAAATCAGTAAAAAAAAAAAAACAACAACAAAAAATACGATAAAGAACGAAAGATATACTTGCATTATTTACATCATTCGGACTATTATCCACATCTTCATTTTCATATTCACAACGTTTCTGCCGTTATACGCTCTGGCCCTCTTCAGGTGATTGGAATTTCGAATCGAACCTTTTATTTCTTCCAGCGGGGTAGTTCTACGTGTCATTCCAATCACCTGAGGAAAGCCGGAGCGTACAACGGCCGAAACGTTCCGAAAATAGCAATGAATATGAGGATAACAGTCCGAATAATGAAAATAATGCAAGTAATCATAATACCTCCTCTCAGAGATATAGACAGATAATAAAGGAGATATATTTGGATATGCTTGTAGTGCAATGGTTAGCAGTTCGTTAAGAGAAATCGTTGCGCCGAGTTCGAATTCTGGTCGAGTTCGTTATATTCGCACAAAACACTTGGAGAGATACGAACCCATATATTTTCACTCCAGTTATGGATTTAGTAAAGCTGACTGGAATGTTTAGCCATGGTTGGCAACTAGTCTAGTTGAAAGAAACTGGTTTCAAAACCCGTTAGTTGCTCTGGCGAGCCACATACTATACAGCCTATTAATAAGATTATAGAATTCACAATCAACTGTGGCGCGGTCTTGGATTAAGGTCAATATGTAACACTAAATCACGATGAAACACCGTATGATCACCGAAGTTAAGCAGCGTAGAGCCAGGTCAGTACTTAGATGGGGGACCGCTTGGGAACACCTGGTACTGTAAGCCCCCAAAGTCCAACCCTTACCTCACAGTCGGTGGGGGGGTGTAAACGGTAGTGTCAGAGCTATGCCGCCCGTTCCTGGTAGGGCCACCCAAGGCGGACAGGTCTGACACACACGCCGGCTAACAAGGGCTCTGGTGAAAATCCAAGGAGCGTCTGCATCGGTAACCGGCGGCTTCTGGTCGTTCCTGTCTCTGCGTCTGTGGAAACCCGCGGCAAGCAAGAACGTTATCCGAGTAGGCCTGGGTACCCTACTTCTGTAATTTATCCCAAGAATCTTCTTCTCATAACAGGAAGAAGCCGGCTCAATCCGCCCAGGGTGAATGCCGCATCAGTACAGTAGTAGTAGTACTAAACTAATCGATTTTCTTTTTTTCCAGGTTTGCAGATAAGAAGTTGACACCATTTATCGTAAGAAACACAGAAAAACCGTTTGAATTATTCAACTAGAAATAGAACAGGTTAAAATTGTTTTGTGTCAGCCCCACTGTCTTCCTAACTGAGCAATGGTGAGAGAAAAAAGATCAGAAGATCACAACAGGGCCGTCATTCGAACGTAGAGGTAAAGAGATCAATTAGAAAAGATACAACTCTATCCATAAGGCGTTTGACACGTGAGAGGAGTTTCACCTTTGACAGTCCCCAAAATTTGGACAATTTTGCTGTTACACACGGTGTATATATATATATATATATATATATATATATATATATATATATATATTGTCTCTATTTAGGCAGCATTTTTTCATTGATGCATGTTTAATTTATAATCTGTAATTTATAACAGAAGCCATTGGTTTATACCAACGGCTTCACATACTTAATACTTCTTGTTTTCAATCTCGCGTGGTCATGTGTGATGTCATGAGCTGCGATGCGATTTTCGCTTCCAGCATCTTGTATGCACGAGTTAGTCGTTGCTTGGAAATATTCCATGTAAACATAAACAGACTATCATTATTGTTTTGTCCGTGTATTAGTTAATATATTGTAATGCAATTGTCATCTTTGATAATGGCTTATGTAAGCCAAAAGCTTTAATAGGATTAAAAAATATGTATCAATATTGTGATTTTCTTTTTTCTTTTAATGACAATGTTATTAAGCTTATCAGACGATATAAAAAATTTTACATAAAATAAATAGACAAAACTTGTCTATATTATTTAATGAAACATGTATCAATATATATATATATATATATGCATACATACACACACAGACGCACACACACACACATATATATATATTGTGTATATTTAGGCAGCAATTTTTAATTAATGCATGTCTCATTAAATAATATAGACAAGTTTTGTCTATTTATTTTAAGTAAGTTCCTTTCATATTGTCTGATAAGCTTAATCACATTATCGTTGAAAGACGAAAGGAAAATACCATATTGATACATTTTAAAATCCAATCTAAGCTTTCGGCTTACATAAGCCATTACCAAAGATGACAATTCCAATAAATCAAACAACAACGGACGAAACAACAATGATAGTCCGCCCCTGCTGCATGAAAATTTCCAAATAACGACAAACTCGTATATACGAGACGCGGAAGCGAAAATCGCGTCGCTGCTCATGACGTCACACATGACCAAGCGAGAGTGAAAAACGAGAAGTATTAAGTATGCTAAGCCGTTGGTATAAACCAATGGCTTCTGCTATAACTTAATGAAACATGCATTAATATATATATATATATATATATATATATATATATATATATATATATATATTAAATCACCCCTGCTTTATCTAATTGCGAATGTACTTGTTGTGCGTGTAGTCATTGTGTATTCATTGGTAGTTCATTAATGATGATCAAATTCCTTTGCGGGTTTTGTACATATATCTTAATTTTAAATAGCGTGATAACTATATGGCAGATAAATGCAGACAAAAAAATGTGGATATTACTGCTATTGAAAAGACCAATAAAATCAATATCAGGACAGTCGTGTCGATTAAAAGCCCCCTCACGAACATTATCAAGGCCAACTAACAAAATAAAAGACAATAACGTTAGTCCCAGAAAATGAAAGAGAGAGTAAAAAATATACTATGATGATAGAAACGGACAAAGAAGGTAAGGAGAGAAGAAGAGGATCAGAAAGAGGAAAGAACGATAGATAAATAGAAAGACAGGGGGAGGAAGAAAATGAGAAGTATCATATATATTATGAAAAGGAAAGGTAAAATGGACACTAAAGAGGGGGAGAAAAATGCCTGAAAGAGATAAAATGAAACGAGAGCAAGCCAACAAAAAAGAGAGAAATGAAAGTTGTATAATTTTTTTTTTATTATTTGTAAAAAATGTTAAAGATCTATAAATAATCGTCTAGGTTGCTTTTTTATACACGTTTTGAGAAAAGAGGATTCTTTAGAAGGCCAGACGGTTTGTGTTAAATTGTATTTAATGGTTTTCTAAGTTCAAACGGTGAACCGCCAAAATTGTTTGAAGCGTTTCGGATTTATTTTTTGAAGACTTGGAGAGGGTTTTTTTTTTTTTTTTTTTTTTTTAAATATATATATTGGCCAACGAGAAACAAGTTTGCTGGCCAGTCTCAAATTTTAGCTGGAGCCGATATCACTGTCACTTTTTCAATAAAAAGGATTGCTATCAGAGATCTAGAGCGTAGGGCTGAGGCAGATCCGTGAGGGGAAGGCCAGGCAGGAGACAAGGATGTGTCCTTGATGAGAACGGACAGAAGAGATTCCTACACCAGTAAATTTTACACCAAAAATACAAGTGAAATTCTGACAAAATTCTAAGAACTCTCGAGAAAACAGGTTGAAAACGCAAAAAAAAAAAATCCTCCGAGCTGAGATTTCTTGTGTTGTTTGTGCATATTTCTAAGAACAGAGATGGGTACTATTTGAAAAAATTCTGACTTGTGCCATTTTATTATTTCTTTCTACAAGTTTTTTCAGTTTTTCTTTTTTTTTTTTTTTTGAAAGCTTTAATTTTTGTATATGGATCCATTTCTTATCAAACTAATTGTGAAAATTCTTTTCATATTTCTGTGGTTAATCTATCTTTTTTGTTACCCCAGGAAAGTGTTATCCTGCCCAAAAATAGGCATATTTTTCTTCAACCTATATTTTGTAGTTTCGGAATTTTTAAATTGTAAATAAATGTTTTGTTCCCTTTAAAATTTTACGCAATGGTCGACTTGGTTCTTAAGTTGCGCCTATTTTCGAAAGTTGCTGTTTCTACCAACAAAGTTTTGTGTCTGGCACAAGAACTTGGAGTTGGTAGGAATGTAAAATGTTTATCTCTTGCGCAAAAATGTTTTATGTTACCGCTGTGTAACATAATTTTTTACAGTTGAGAGAGTGAGCTAGATGAAAAAGGTGAGCTATAAATAGAGAATGAAGAAAGAGATGAAGGAATAAAGAAAGAAACAGTAAAGAAAAACAGAGTGGGAGGGTGAAGCAAAGAGGAGAGAGAAATTGGTTTGTTTATCTATCTATCTATCTATCTATCTATCTATCTATCTATCTCAGTATATATTGGTTTGATTTGTTTTGTTTTACAGTATATCAACCACAATGGGTTATTTAATGCCGACAATTGTTATTGCTGATGATATTTTTTATCTATCTATCTATCTATCTATCTATCTATCTATCTATCTATCTATCTATCTATCTATCTATCTATCTCAGTATATATTGGTTTGATTTGTTTTGTTTTACGGTATATCAACCTCAGTGGGTTATTTAATGCCGACAATTTTTATTGCTGGTAATATTTTTCCCCAAAATGTATTGCTGGTAATATTTTTTTTCAAAGATGTATTGCTGGTAATAATTTTTACAAAGTATTTCTGGTATTAAAACCCTTTTTTACACTTTCATAGTGTTTTGACTCCAGTTTGGAGGTTAACTATTTACCCATAGCTGGGACCCTAACAGGTACTACCCACCCGGGTCAGGATGGACCTGGGAACATTAGCAATTAAGAGGCAGTTCTACGTTCTTCAAAACCTTCAGCCTTGCTGTTGGACATAGTTTATCATCTTACCCAGCACGCGGATGTAGTTTATCGTCTTACACAGCACGCGGATGTAGTTTATCATCTTACCCAGCACGCGGATGTAGTTTATCATCTTACCCAGCACGCGGATGTAGTTTATCCTTACCCAGAAGGTGGACAGAAATGCATTTCGCGCACTTCGCGATTTTTTGTTCAACATAATCGACCAACCGAGAGTGCAACTGGAAAAATTGTCCGTAAATTCAAACAAACTGGGTCGCTGTCAGATGTGAAAACACCACTGCGTGCTCGTGTACGCCGTTCAGCTGAAAACATTGCTGCAGTGCACGAAAATGTAGCCAAAAATCCAGACACCTCTATTCGTCGTCGGCCACAGGAATTGAATCACTCCACAACAACGTTACATGTTTTCAACTGCACTCTCGGTTGGTCGATTATGTTGACCAAAACAATCGCGAACTGCATGAAATGCATTTCGGTTTGAAGGTCAATTTTCTTTATAGGCTTCGATAACTTTAACACGTTGTTTGATTGTTAATCTTTCCATGGTTGAAATTGCCAAAGACTTAAGTTGTTAAATCTGAAAGAAAAAGAAAAAAATCATTAGACGATTAAATTTAATTAACATTTGAAATCAGCCCAGGTTATTGGGAAACCCTTTATAACTTGTTGCTGAGCTTTTCAACATCATCTTTATAGCTAATGGAATGCGTTTGTTAAGAACCGGGCGATGGATAGTGAAGCTAACCTTGAATCTTATTAACTTAGGGTTGAAAAACAATTTTAAAAAATGCACATAATTTAACACAAACCGTCTGGCCTTCTAAAGAATGCTCTTTTCTCAAAACGTGTATATAAAAAAAAACAACCTAGACGATTATACACAGAACTTTAATTTTTTTTTTACAAATAATAAAAATAATTATACAATTTCCATTTCATTCATTTTTCTTTGCTTTCTCTCATTTCATTTTAACTCTTTCTGTATTTTCTCTCCTCTTTAGTGTCCATTTCATTTTCAGAATATGCTTCTTTCTCATTTCCTTCCTCAACAATGGAAAAGGAATGATCCATTTTACAGCCTTACTTCACAATTAAATAAATGAGGATATGATAGTAGTTGGTCTGTTAGATTTGCGTTGGCTAGGAAGTGGTGGTAAAGAAGCGGTGGGTAGGAAATGGTGATTAGGAAGTGGTGGTTAGGAAGAGGTGTTAATGAAGCGGTTGCTAGGAAGAAGTGGTTAGGAAGAGGTGACAAAGAAGCGGTGGTTAGGAAGTGGTGGTTAAGAAGTGGTGGTTAAGAAGTGGTGGTTAGGAAGAGGTGGTAATGAAGCTGTGGCTAGAAAATGGTGGTTAGGAAGATGTGGTAAAGAAGCGATGGTTAGGAAGTGGTGGTTAGGAAGATGTGGTAAAGAAGCGATGGTTAGGAAGTGGTGGTTAGGAAATGGTGGTTAGGAAGAGGTGGTAATGAAGCGGTGGCTAGGAAATGGTGGTTAGGAAGAGGTGGTAATGAAGCGGTGGCTAGGAAATGGTGGTTCGGAAGAGGTGGTAATGAAGCGGTGACTAGGAAATGGTGGTTAGGAAGAAGTGGTAATAAAGGGATGGTTAGGAAGTGGTGGTTAGGAAATGGTGGTTAGGAAGAGGTGGTAATGAAGCGGTGGCTAGGAAATGCTGGTTAGGAAGAGGTGGTAATGAAGCGGTGGCTAGGAAATGGTGGTTAGGAAGAGGTGGTAATGAAGCGGTCCTAGGAAATGGTGGTTAGAAAGAAGTGGTAAAGAATCGGTGGTTAGGAAGTGGTGGTTAGGAAATGGTGGTTAGGAAGAGGTGGTAATGAAGCGGTGGCTAGGAAATGGTGGTTAGGAAGAAGTGGTAAAGAAGCAGTGGCTAGGAAATGGTGGTTAGGAAGAGTTGTTAAAGAATCGGTGGTTAGGAAGTGGTGGTTAGGAAGTGGTGTTTAGGAAATGGTGGTTAGGAAGAGGTGGTAAAGAAGCGGTGGCTCGGAAATGGTGGTTAGGGAGTGGTGGTTAGGATTGGTGGTTAGGAAGTGGTGTTAATGAAGCGGTTGCTAGGAAGAAGTGGTTAGGAAGTAGGGTTAGGAAGTGGTGGTTAGGAAGAGGTGGTAATGAAGCGGTGGTAATGAAGCTGTGGCTAGGAAATTGTGGTTAGGAAGATGTGGTAAAGAAGCAATGGTTAGGAAGTGGTGGTTAGGAAGAGGTGTTAATGAAGCGGTGGCTAGCTAGGAAATGCTGGTTAGGAAGAGGTGGTAATGAAGCGGTGGCTAGGAAATGGTGGTTAGGAAGAGGTGGTAAAGAAGCGGTGGCTAGGAAATGGTGGCTAGGAAGAGGTGGTAATGAAGCGGAGGCTAGGAAATGGTGGTTAGTATATAGTCGTTAGGAAGCGGTGGTTAGTAACAGGTGTTTAGGAAGAGGTGGTAATGAAGCGGTGGTTAGGAAGGGGTGGTTAGGAAGCGGTGGTTAGTAACAGGTGGTTAGGAAGAGGTGGTAATGAAGCGATGGTTAGGAAGGTGTGGTTAGGAAGCGGTGGTTAGGAAGAAGTGGTTAGTAAGAGGTGGCTAGGAATCGGTGGCTAGGAATCGGTGGCTAGGAAGCGGTGGTTATGAAACTGGAAGATAGTGTTGGTAACCAAGTGTCTATGCTCACTACAAAGTGATAGCGGTAGATGTTATTGGAAAACCCTTTATTAGCTTATCGACTTTTAAAAGAAGGCAATCATTCGGGTGGCGCTACAGAATTACAAACAAAGATAAATAAAAAAAAAACCGTTACTGGAAAACTCCCAGCAGCTGAAACCATTACAATGGATCAAAAACATAAAAATCGTAAGGAAAATAATGACATAATCAAGATGCTGATACTCCACGCTACAAAAAAAAAACAAAAAAAAACAAAAGTGTGGAATAAAACTCTGATAATTATTCGGTAGATCGATAACAGTTCAGTTGAAAAGCCCGTTTCCCTGAAAAACTATTTCAAGGGAAAGAGTTTATTTCACCGCAATCAAGTCGTGGGTACCCACTCGCACGCAGGTAGCTACAAAGAGTGAAAGTAAGAGAAACGACTGGGTCTGAGGTGGGGGAGAGTCAGGAATGGATAAAAAGAAGAACGGGGATCAAGGCATCAGAAAATGACGATTGACGTTATATTTAAATTTATGAAGATTGTAATCATCAGGAAAGTAAGTAATGTTGCAATCTCATCTATCTATCTATCTATCTATCTATCTATGTCTGTTAATTATCTATCTATCTATCTATCTATCTATCTATCTATCTATGTCTGTTAATTATCTCTCTCTCTCTCTATCTATCTATCTATCTATGTTATCTATCTATCTGTATATATATCTATCTATCTATGTCTGTTAATTATCTATCTATCTATCTATCTATCTATCTATCTATCTATCTACTTATGTCTGTTATTATCTATCTATCTGTATATCTATCTATCTATATCTGTTAATTATCTATGTATCTGTATATCTATCTATCTATGCCTGTTAATTATCTATCTATCTATCTATCTATCTATCTATCTATCTATCTATCTATCTATCTATCTATCTCATTCTGTTCATATCTATCTAACTATCTATATATCTATATATATCTTCGTTTTTCCATTATCTACCTTCGTCTTCTCCCGGCCGGTTTCTGATAGTAGTTTTGAGTCCAGAGATAAAACAACACGGAAAATTTTTAACTGAGCTAGTTTATTAACGATGACGTATCCATCTCTTATCCAGCGTTTACGGGGGCGTTTCAGACACGAATGGAAACACATCTACATTGTTCGACAGCTAAGAAAAAAATCTCCCGGAAAAATCTTTCTATATCTCTATCATTCCTACGCTAGATCAGCCAATCAAAATCGACTTCCTCATCGTGTCTTCTTTCTGATCCTTAAGGTCAACGTCAGCAAGTCCGAGAAGAGATATATTTCCGCTAAAAAAAAATAACAGTTTGCTAAACTATTATTTAACAGGAAGAGGAAAGGATTTCCACTGTCGGGAAGTGCGAGAGAAGAAGCTGTTGGTGTAGAAGTGGCATTTACAGTAAATGGGTGGGACCTAGCACAAGGAAAAATATCTCGTCAGGGCAGCTGCCTTGAAAATATTTGTAGAAAAGACAGAGGGAAGCCACAACACGTTTTTGATGAAGTTACTGGAGTCGAGATGCCAAATCAGAACTGACTACACTGCAGGTTCTTCAACCGACATAAAGCCAATTGTATGGTCAATGAATGCCGACAATTTTCTTATATAGAAACGGTTATTTTAACATTACTGTTACCATTGAATAAGCTAATATTCATTATGCATTCAGGAAATTTCCCCAAGCGTCGGCTTGTAGATATATCAACAGTCCTTTCTGGATCAACAGGGTTCAAGATAATCCTTGAATAAATCTACCGTCTATCATTTAATTATCACTTATCGTTGTCAAGTGCACTTGAAATGACTAACCTTTGTCTTGAATCGGTGAGGAGCGGTGGTTGCTGCTGACATCGATACAGACGGTTGGCGTCATTGACAGGGTTTAGTGCAAGCGAAAGATGTTAAAGTTCTAGGAGAGTCGAGATATCGCCGGTGACATATGTTTCAGACAAATAATTTCTAAATTTTATTTCTTGTGGTTTTATCACTACTGTGAGGAGGACAAGGCGCTCATATACCATAATAATTATGGACAGAAAGCACTCATATCTATCTATCTATCTATCTATCTATCTATCTATCTATCTATCTCAGTATGTTCATATCTATCTATCTATCTATCTATCTATCTATCTATCTATCTATCTCAGGATGTTCATATCTATCTATCTATCTATCGTCGTCTGTTCATTATCTATCTATCTATTTATCTATCTTTTTTAATATGCTCATATCTATCTATCTATCTATCTATCTATCTATCTATCTCAGTATGTTCATATCTATCTATCTATCTATCTATCTATCTATCTATCTATCTATCTTCACTTTTCTTTCTTTTTCTCTGCTAGATTCATGTACATTTGTGACTTTAATTTTTTGAAACATGATTAGATGCGAACTAATATGCTGATCTTTATAGAATACCGACAACATTTCAGCCGTTTAACTCTTCGATCACTTTTCAGGTGATTTTTCATCGTACCCAGTAACCTAGGAATTTTAAATCGGACCGCTTATTCGTTTAATTTAGCTTTCATGCCTGTTTATATTCACAGACTTATTGTTTTCGCTAATAGGCTAAAGTAAAAATATACCCCCTCACCCGTTTTTATATTTTTCAGTAAAAGAATCGTACAAGTCAAGCAGACTTATTGAAGAGGGTAAAGAGAAAAAAATTCCCCGCTTTCATTTCTTAATTTTACGTACCACCACAGTAAAATGGACGAATTAAAAAGTGTAATTCTAGAATTGTTGAAACACCAACAGGAACAACAACTACTGTTGGAACAGAAATACCAAGGAAGACAGAAACACAACATGAACAGCATTTGCTGTTGGTGCAGAAATACCAAGGAAGACAGAAACACAACAGGAACAGCATTTGCTGTTGGAGCAGAAATACCAAGGAAGACAAGAGAAATTCCAACGAGAACAAGCAGAGTACCAGAAGAAATTTGAGGAATTGCACCGAGAAATTAAGGTTAGACAAGAGAAACTGGAAGAAATGCTCCTTCAAACACAGAATGAGCAAAGGCACTTGTATATGTCCATAAAAACCAAAATGAGGACAGCGATAACGCCTTCTCTCAAAATGCTATATGGAGTGCTATTAAAAACTTCACGTTTGCACCTGAAGAAGAAATTACATTCGCTTCGTACTTTAAACGGTACGAGGACATATACAATATGGATTGTGCGAATTGGGCTGACCATAAAAGGTTCGCCTACTCCTCAGGAAATTAGGCACAGCAGAATATACTAAGTTTGTCAACTATATTTTGCTTAAGAAAACCAGCGACTTGAAATTTAAAGAAGCGGTTCAATCATTAACAGAACTCTTCAGTCCAAAAACAACACTGTTCCACAAGCGTTGGAAATCCATGAATCTCACCCACAAAGAAGACGAAGATTATACTACTTTGGCGAGTGTAGTCAATAAACATTGCGATGATTTCAAATTGGCAGGGTTAAGAGCCAATAATTTTAAATGCCTGATTTTCGCCTTTCGGGTTTGATTTTAGCGAAAGACGCCGAAATACGTCGTAGGTTACGCAACAAGCTTGAAAACGATCCCGACGTTATTTTTACAGCAAATTGCTGAAGATTGTCAATGTTTTGTGAGCGTCAGAGAAGGATTCGATAAAGCATCAAGCAGGGTGGCGTGGCTCACATTAAAAAAAAATACTCCACAGAAATATTAAAAATGGTCAACTTACTTTGCCGTCCAGTTCTTGTTTCGGGTGTGGTCAATTACACTGGCATAGAGATTCTCCTTTTAAAGATAAAAATGTTTTAATTTCAATAAATTGGGACACAAAAGTTCTCACTGCAGGATTAAAAACAAGACAAAAACAGTTTTGTAAAAATTACCAAGTCTGATGAACCAGAAAGTCATGACAGGGAATATATTGAAGTGCAAATATTTAACAAAAATATAAGGCTACAACTTGATTCGGGTTCAGACTTATCCATAATTAATTATCAAACATGGAAGAAACCGTGTTAGCCGACTTTGTTAAGAACGAACCGAAGAGCCAAAAGTATAACTGGCAGCCCTATTAAGTTTATGGGCGAACTTATAACGAACGTGTCATTCAAAGGTATAACTTTAAAACTAAAGGCGTATATTATAAAGAATACGGGTAATTTGATTGGGACTGATTGGTTAGAACAGTTTCAACTTTGGGATATGCTTATTAACTCATTATGTCAAAAGTCGAAAATTTGACTGACGAAGCAGAAAAGTTGAAAGGTGAATTAAAAAAAAAATCCCGACATTTTCAGTGGGGGACTAGGAAAATGCACAAAAATGTCTGCTAAGTTGGAGTTAAAGTCAGACGTAAACCCAGCTTTTAAGAAAAAAAAACCTTATGTTCCATTTGCCTCAGTTAAATCAAGTTGACGAGGAGCTGAATCGACTTGAGGAAATGGGAGTTCTGTCAAAGGTTGTGATTGGGCATCTTCCACAGTTTATATTAAAAAAAGGGCAAAGAAATTCGCGTATGTGCTGACTTCTCTACGGGGCTGAACAGCGCCCTAAAGGATCACCATTATCCCCTTCCAAATCCAGAGAAGATATTAGCTAAGCTCAGTGGAGGAAAATATATTTCTAAGAGTTTTTTCTTAAGCGACGCATATCTACATACACTCGTGGACAAGGAATGCTCGAAGTTCCTTTGCATAAACACCCACAGGGGTTTATACAAATTTTTAAGACTTTCGTTAGGGGTTAAGGTCGCCCCTTCCATTTTTCAACAAGTCATGGACACGATGTAAAATGGTCTGGATTTTACGGTGGCCTATCTCGATGACGTCCCAATGAAAAGCGAGAGCATCGAGGAACACAAATTACACGTCTGGCAGGTGTTCATGAGATCCCAAGATTACGGATTCAAATTAAAAGACAGGAAGTGTGAGTATTACTTAGAGCATTAAGCAATTGACAAAGACGGAAGACGTCCCGAGACAGATTGGGCAACGGCAATAAAGAATATGCCACTACCAGAAAATGTGTCGGCTCTTCAAAGTTTTTTAGGTCTTGCCAATTATTACAACGTTTTTGTCCCAAGAATGCACGGTTTGAGAGCTCCACTTTATGAATTATCGAGAAAAGATGAGTAAGAATGGACAACCAAATTCCAGGAAGCATTTGAGAAAATAAAGGGGGCCCTTACATCAGATCTGTTCCTGACTCATTACGATCCAAACCTTGACATCATTGTAGCAAGAGATACTAGCTCCTACGGCATCGGGGCGTGCATTTTACACAAGTTAAAGGATGGATCGGTAAAACCAATCGCCCATGCATCTAGGACGCTATTACCAGCTGAAATAGGTTACACGCAACTAGAAACGGAAGCCTTAGGAAACATTTTTGAGGTGACTAAATTTCATAGATTTATTCATGGAAGTTACTTTTTGTTGCAGACAGACTATCGTCCACTCCTTACTATCTTTGGATCAAAAAATGGTCAGCCAAAACATACTGCTAATAGACTGCAAAGATGGAAAACCATTCTCCTCAATTATAACTATAAAATGGAGTTTCTCCCATCCACTAAAATGTGTCATGCAGACGAGTTGTCTAGATTGATACCTAAGTATGGTGAACCACTGGAAGGCACGGTCATTGCTGCCATAAGAAAAGAGGTCGAAATAAAAAGTACCTTATGCAATACTGTCAGAGAGCTTCCTATAACAATAGACGAGATAATAGACAAAACGTCCGATGATGAGTTCATAAAGGAAGTAAATGACAAACTAAATATTAAAGACCAGAATATCTCAGAAGTTTACTCACTCTGTAACGACATACTAATGTACGGAGACAGAGTAGTCCTCCCGTCTACATTACAGAAAAGAACTTTAAAGGAATTTCATGTTGGCCATCCGGGAAATTCAAGAATGAAGAGTCTGATGAGGAGTTACTTCTACTTGACCAAAATGGACAAGGATATTGAAAACACTGTAAAATCGTACAAAGGATGTGCTTTGGTTGTTAAAGCACTCCCGATAAAATTCAATCCTTGGCTAAAAACCGACCGTCCGTGGTCGCGGATGTACATTGACTTTGCTGGTCCACTTGATGGTTTTTACTACCTTGTAGTAGTTAACAGTTATTCCAAGTGACCAGAAATATTAAAATGTAAGAAGCCGACCTCGGTGGTGACAGTAAAACTTTTGAATGAGCTATTTTCCCGTTTCGGAGTTGTTGACTCTATCGTAACAGAAAATGCCACACAGTTCACATCCTGTGAATTTAAGGATTTTCGTCAGTCATTCCTGATTGAACATATGACCACGGCGCCATATCACCCAAGAAGTAATGGACAGGCAGAGCGTTTTGTGGACACTGAGCACTGAGGAAGGCGAGAGGTACTCCCACCGATACGGCTATACAGCTGTTTTGTAGGTATATCGTGTAACCCCTAATAACAGTGCTCCATCTGCCAAGACGCCAGCGGATGTCATGTTTGCTAGGAAAATAAAATCGGAATTTGACAAATTCCTTCCGAGTGAAACGAAAGCGGAAAATAGGAATAAAGTGCTTAAAAAGCGTTTTTAGATCGATGAAAAGGTTTTTTTTTCGTGTATTTGGGGATAATAAAGCTCACTGGGAGATAGCAACAGTAGACAGACAAATTGGTAACATGATTTATATGGTTCAGGGACCGAAGTTTATACACAAAAGTTATTGAAGGCGTAGTCGACAGGGATGCCACAGAAGATGACACTATGGACTTCGCCTTTGACACGTTTGAGGTTCCAATACCGCAATCAGTGCCAGATCACAGAAGACCCAAAAGAAAAAGGGAATTTACGGAACCTTTAGAAGCTAATCCGAAAAGAAAAAGATATTGAACATCTTTCATTTCATACCATGTCTACAGAAAAAGGAAAAGAATGAGTAAAAAGCATCTCCTCCCTTGTGAACTTTGAATTACCAGAAAAGCACAGTACACATTGGATTATTAGAAATTATTAACATTATAATTTACCATTAAACTTATCCAATTTTTCATTATTTAGGAATAATGAATAGAGACCTTAATAACAAGGGACTATCGTAAAACTGAAAAAAAATAAAATTGTGAACGTAATTCCTGTATATAGCTCTTTTCAAAGTGGTTGTTTCTGATTTGGGGGGTGGCGTTGAATAAAAAGTATGCTGTGGTTATTAAAAAAAAACTCCATATGGAGTCAGGCTGAAAAGGGGGGGTTGTGGTATCCACCCTCTAAAGAGTCTATGTTGGACTCTTCCGCCTACTATAAGATTAGTAGGAGAGAAGGGGAACAGTCAAATAGATTGTTCATCTGTCAAATTGTCTGCCTCGGCAGAGAGGAACTCGGACAAAGATTTGCCGCAGGGTAAAGTTTCGT